GCTGGCACTGGACGGTGGCTGCCCCTGAGGCACTCTGCAGCTGGGAGGCGCCCAGCTCACCCACCCTCACCACGTGGCCTCCTGAACTGTGATTTGCTGTACATCCCCAGCCCTCTTGCCTGTGAGCGAGCTCAAGGGAGCAGCCAACGTGTCCGATTCCTGGTCCAAGGACAACACCCAAGTGCAGGGCGTCGATAAGCCTCTGCGATGAGGTGCAGGGACTGCACAGAGGAGTGAGCGGAGCCAGGAGGCCGAGGGGGCCATTGCCTGCAGTGGTGAGTCCTGGGGGCAGCAGGCAGACACAGGAGGAGGAGCTGGGTTTGGAAGGAGACAGGCTGTGACGATGGAAATGAATAAACTTAGAGAGGACTGGCTGTGAGGGGCAAAGGGAAGGGAGGAGGATTCAAGGGTGGGAGTCAGGTGCTGCTGCAGACAGCAAAAGGAAGTGCAGGCCAGGGGCGGTGGGGCAATTCTACTTCTGAGCATTTATCCAAATAAGATGCAATCACTTCCTTGGAAAGGAAGGGAATCTGCATTCCCATGTTCACTGCAGCATTATTTACAACAGCAAAATACAGTAACAATCTAAGTGACAGATGAATGGATAAAGAAGATGTGATACATAATATGTATGTATATATCTGTGTCAATATATATACATACACACACATATACACACAATATAGAATATTACTCAGCCATAAAAAGGAACAGGGTGGACCTTGGTGGCATCATGATTAAGTGAAATAAGTCAGACAGACAAAGACAAACACTACATGATCTTACTTACACGTGGAGTCTAAAGAAAAACTGAACTCACAGATACAGAGAACTCTGGTGGTTGCCAGAGGCCAGGCACGGGCGTGGGAGAGGGGGGAAAAAATGGGTGAAGGCGGCCCAAGGTCAAGCTTCCAGCTCTAAGATACGTAGGTCCCGGGATGTCCTGAGCAGCACGGTGACCAGTTAGCGATGCTGCATCGTGCAGTGTGTGAAAGTGGCGGAGAGAGTAGATCTTAAACATTCTCACCTCATGAAAAAAAAATTCTTTTAACTGTTTGGTGATAGATGTTAACTAAACTTTTTATGTTAACTATTTCTCAATATATCCATACATCAAGTAGCACATCAATGCACTATACACCTAAAACTAACACAATGGTATGTGTTTGTTATAGCTCAGCTAAAACACCTAATAAAATTAAGTGCAGTTTCCCAGTTGCACTAGGCACATTTTAAGTTCTCAACAGCCACCCATGGCTGGCGGCTACTGAGCTGGAGAGGGCAGGGCACTGCTGTCACTGGTAACACCACGGGAAGATCCGTCAGGGAGCACGGGCCTGGACCATCAGGACGTGTCGCAGAAATATGCACAGGAGAATCTAACGTGCATTCACTCATTCATAAACTATACTTGTTGAGCACATTTCCGCGTGTAAAATATGCCCCTGGGTGTCCGTCCTGCCCCCTGCACCACTGCGGCAAGGCTGGGGGTGGCATCAGGAGGGTGACGCTGTCGGTGAAGGTAGCGAGGGAGTGCCTGTTCCACCGCGGGTGGTACCGGGTAGCAGGTCACTAGTGCGTCGTTATGAAGGCAAACGGGGATGGTGTGGAGCCGCTGGAAGCCCACTTTTTGAATGGGTTATTATTGACTATAAAAGGGAGACCACTGGCTCCTCCCTCCCAACGGATGGCGCCCTGCAGGGGAAGCAGAGCTGAGAAAACCAGAGAAAAACTGACAGACCTCAGTCCCCTTCTAAGCTCTGTCACTCACAACTCACTAGCTGGGCGAGTGGTTCAATCCAGGGAATATCAAACACTGACACACCTATTAACACGTCCTCCTCCCGAGCCCAAGGCAGACACCCTGAATCAGTCAGGCACCTTCCTTGGTGAAGCCGAAGGGAGGTTCCAGATCTTTCTTAAGACAGGCAGCCATTTCTAAGCAGAGCATGCAAAAGAAACACAAGTTTCTCGGCCCCGTGGAATCTCTCTGTGTAAGCTCCAGTTTCTTCATCTCCATGGTGACGACTGGCGACATCTACCTTGCAGAATTGCTGGGGGTCACTGAGATGAGGCACTCGTTTGGTTATTTGTTTATGCATCTAATACTCCGAGTGCCATGTGCCTGCCTGGCATGCGCAGCACTGGATAAAGGACAGCCGTGGCACGCAGACGTCTGTGTGCTGGCGTGTCGGGGACCCAGCCTCTGTGTCGCCCTGCTTTCCCCTCGAGCCCTCTCCTCTGGGCTGGCCTGCACTCACCGCATCTCCTAATAACGGGAAAGGTGCCCAGAAGAGCTAGCCTGAGGGTTTAAGCCAGCATCTCTGCTAGCACCTTCTTCCCCCACATTCTGAACAAGCTGCAGCTGGATTAGCTCCCACCTCTAACTTTCCTCGGATTCCCAAACACAAAACTCTGTATTAACGAGTCGTGCCAACCAGGCTGAGCCATGCTTCCTGTAAACTCCTTTTATCTCCTCTAAGACACACAGGAGTCACATCCTCCAGGGACCATTAAATCAAATCAACCTGCAGCTGTGTCTGTTTGTGCTTTCTGCCCCCGGAAAATTCTGGCAACAGATGAGTGGGAGTGCGTGACCCCTGAGGTGCCCGTCAGGGACCGTGGTCCTCCCCACTCCGCTCTGCCTGTGCAGAGGCCTCAAGCCTCGAGGGCCCACGGCCAGCGGCTCCTCCACGCACCCGCAACGACACCCTGGTGCCCTGCTCCTCTTTCTTATTCTCCCCGCACAGAGAAGGCTGAGCGCAGGTCAAAGGAGAAGGCGGCCTTAGCCACAAGGAATGAAGCTTATCTCCTTTGTAATCCGGCACAGAAAAGCTGCTTTTCTTGGCCTGAGATACATACTCAATGCCAGGGCCAAGCTCCAGGGCCGGGGGCCTGGGCGGCCAGCACTGTTTCACCGCCCAGTCCCGAAGATGCTGGGTCCGCCTTCCAGGAAGCACCCGCTGGACTCGGGCACGGGAGGGCACAGCCCGTGCAGGGCCGGATGAGTCCCTCTGCACGCCAAAGCCCACCCGTGGAGAACGGGAGGCTGACACTCTCACAGAAACTCCCTCCCTTATTCCAGTGGCTTGGACTGCTCTTAAATTTTAACTTTAGGTATTTTTAAAACCTCAAAAATAGGAATCAGAGAAAGCTTTTTGTTACTTCTCTGAGCAGCGCAGTGTGGGAATGAGCCCTGTTAGCTCCAGATCCCCTGAGCCTCGCAGATCATTGTTTACGGGGCAGCTGGCTGCTGCGGGGGAACCGGCAGGAGGGAGGGAGGAAGGACAACAAGGAGGGAGGAGCCCTGACTCTCCCTGCGGGCCCCCAGACTGCCTCTAGCCTGCTCAGGACCTCATGCGAGTGCCCCGACACTCTTAGTCTCTCGTCTGGACATCAAAAAGGGTAAGGCAACTGCTTCTCCAGTCCTGGGGAAGGAACACATTCATCTATTCAACAGCCATGCATTTCTACTCTGAGCGGAGCAGCGGTGGAGACGACGGCCCTGCTCCCAGGAGGCCCACGGCACTGTCGGGCAGGCATCCACCCTAGTACAGGGTGGTGGGGTGCACTCATGAGGTCCAGAAGCAGTGCAAGGGTTGGGCTGGCTCTCTGCGAAGGTGACCGTCTAGGTTTTTCAGGAATGCCAGGCTGGCAGGAGCTTTGAGTTGAGCCAGACGGGAGGCGCCCGGGACTGAAGGTACAACTACAATGGAGGTCAGTGAGGAGCTCAGTTTCTGCTCCTTCAGGGGCCTCTCCTGACCTCTCCCAGCCTGAGACCAGCCCTCTCCACCATGCCCTAGGGGTTACAGCCTGGGGCAGACCAGCTGGAGCCCAAAGGTGAGTTCAGTTTGAACTGCATGGTAGTTGCAAAAGAATTTAAATTAGCTACTGTAATTCACAAACCAGAAAGGCTCATAGCACAATTCAGGTTCCTAGCTCCCTGGGAATAGCTGGAAGAGCCAGCAGTGCTGGCTGGCATTCCTACATGGCAACCAGTAGCTGAAGCTCAAAAGCAGCCTGTGTTGGCCAGCCTGCCACGCTCCCCACCATGCCCTAGTGTCCCTCTAACAATATTGAGGCTGAGTGCTTGTCCTATCACTTCCTGTAGAGCAGATTGGAAAGGAAAGTAGAACAACAGTCATCCCCAGGTCTATCCTAAGAGAGCAAAGAAAATAGGCCGAGGGATCCTGTCCCTCCTCACCCACTGAGCTCCCGGCTGAGTCCCTGGGGCTTCTGTTTGAAACTCCTGGTACTCCGGCTTCACTCTGTCGTCTGTCGGGGTCTTTATCACACTGCAGTACACTTCTATGTTTACCTGTCGGCCAGCTTTTAGACAAGGAGCATCCCTAGGGTGCGGGCTGTCTCTTCCATCAGAGCCCTCGGGATGACCATGAAAGCCTATGTCCCCAGCCATGTGCCCAGTAATAAGTGTCGATGAGGGGATAAATGCACAGGCAGACACGCGAGGCACAGGCAGTGAAGAGGGCGCAGGAGGTGGTGGGAAGGCAGGAGAGGAGGGGCGCTGGCACACGGGGACCCGGGGCAGACGCACAGAACCCTTGGCCTGCTGGACGAGGGCCTGCGTCTTAGTGAGATCCGTGTCAGTCAGGCACTGTGGGTCACAGTCGGAGAAGTGCTGGGTGAGGGGGGGTGCCTGGGATTCCACTGCAGGGGTGCAGGTTTTCACTTGGATGCTTACCGGCTGTGTGACTTGGGGCATGTCACATACCTCTCTGGGTGTCTATTTCCTTAACTGCTAAAATTGAGCCTTAGTTAGTATCTTTCTAGTTCTTCCAAGGTGTGGCCTGATGACACCTCCCAAACATTCGAGCGGAGACTCCACTCCTAGGGGCCCTGTGGAACCCCCAGCAGGCACTTGTTCACACTCAGCAGGGTCTCCTGGGACCCGTTCTGCAGTTTCAGGGATCAGGCTATTGGGTAGCACTAATGCTCCCATCAGTCAAATGCCCAGGGAGGAATCAGGGCCTGGTACTCACGCCATCAGCCGTCCAGTAATTCCAAACCTTGATCTTGGCCAGACCAAAGGCATGCAGCAGTCTCGTGTTGCGGATGACAAAAAAGAGCTGGAGCGGTGGGTTGAAGGGGCACGTCCACAAGGAGGAGTCTTTCTTGCTCTGGAACACCAGTGGGAGAGGGTGGTGGTCAGCACATCTTCCCCCCCGCCCTGCCCCCGAAGCGCGCCAGCCGTGCCTCCCTCCCGACAAACACCCAGCGAGGGCTGAGGGCAGGCAGCCAGGCCCCTTCTCCACGTAATCGGGGGTGATAGGGGAAGCTCCTGACTGTCACTCCATCTGGACTGACCCTTGTCCTGGACCTGAAGCTGCCAGTGGGGCCCTCCAGCTCCACCATCTAGACTGAGTTTAAAATGCAGCGGGCTTTATTTAAATTGGCTTTGAGGAAAGCACGGGAGGGGGGACAGGAGGGAGCACCAGAGGGAAGGACAGGGAGAGCCACCACTTGCCCTATCTGATAAACCTGGCAACAGAGTTTTTCATTCTCTTTTGTTAAACCTTGTCACATTTTTAAATAAAAAGATATAGACTGACTCGGGTGTTCATCAGGGCAGGGCCACGGCGCCAAGCCCCGAGAGTCATCAGTGTGCCCGCCAGCCAGGCTGCCGAGACCACGAGGGGCAGCGTCGCAAGAACAGAGGGGCAGAGAGCAACTGCTGTCATTCTTGCTCACACCAACAAAACTTTGTCACGAGTGCTTCTGGATGCAGACGAGAAAGCCCAATCAGGGGACTCCTCTCAGCTCTCACTGCCCCTCCCTTCTCTGCGATGCCTCGTCCACCTGACTAGACCGAGCTCTCGGCCGCTCCCGGACACGCCCACACTGGCTCGGTCTCTGCGCCTGTGCACAGGCTGGGCTCTGGGTGCAACGCTCTTCCCGTCCTCACCCGGGGAAATTCAGCCCAAGACACTGTGGTCCCCACTGTCCCCCTTCCCTTGATGCAACTGCCCTCTCCTCCAGGTGTGCCTGCAGCTCCTCGCAGTGCCTGAGGTTAGCACGGCCCTCGGTGTCCCACAGGCGCCCGTTTTGGGGTCCATGTCACTACCCCTGACTCGGTGGTGAGCTCTTCAAGGGAAGTGGCCGAGGCAAATTCATTCCCGAACCCTCAGCATTCACCACAATTCCTTGGCACATGATAAATGCCAAACAACCTTTGTTGAATGAATAAATAAATGGAAAAGTGAAATTTGCCTCCTAATATCTGTCTTCCCATTGAAACTGTGAGAGACTGTAAACTGAATCTGGCCTGCACAGCTATTTTGTTTGGCTCCTGAGTGTTCTTAAAAAAAAAAAAAAAAGGCAAGTTTGCTGCCAACACTTAAAGAAGGAGAGAATTTTGCTCCTCCCAGCTGGATTTCTGGCTTCTTGGCAAACTTGGAAGCCGCAGGTGGCAGCAGGGGTCCCTGATGTCCAAAGGGGGTGCTCTCCTGTGCCCCGGTCCCCACCACTCCCTGCTGTGTACCCACATCGCACTTCCCCCACCTTGCCTCTGCCTGGCCCTTGCAGGCATCTGAGACAAGGGGCTCTGCTTAGGGGCGGAACAGTTACACATCCCGCGTGCCAATGAGCAGCCACGGCATCTCTGACACTGGCTAAAGTTGTCCCTTTTATTAAATAAGAGTGTTGCCCTGTATTTGAGAAAGTGTCCACAGACTTCTGTCACCACGGCCATGCCTGCTAAAGGACAGAGCCAGGGAAGGAGGAGATTGGCTGACTCTGGGCTTCACGGGCCCCCAGGAGATGGAGGCCCAGGCTCCAGCTGCAGGGAAGGACAAAGGTGGCTTGTTCCAGGGAAAATAGCGTCTTTCAGGATGGGGGGGCTGCTTTTGTTAAGGGGGAGAAATGAGTTCAAGGGGTTCTGACTTATTCTGGCAGGTTTCACGAGCTCTGCAAGAACTTCCAGTGCTCTGGGCAGCTGTGAGGGGTCAAGACATCACATCTCAGAATCCAGCAGGGGGGTCTCCTTCCTTCTCCGAGTTGGGGCCTAAGATGGGTCACTGTGGCACTTGAAAAGGCAGACTGGAGGCTGACCCTCGGACACTGGCGAGAGGCTGTAATTGATTTCCCTTCACATTCCTGTCAGCAGAAGGAGTAACAGGAGGGCGAGGTGGGGATCGTGGTGCTCAGAGTCAAAGAACACGGATCGGTGAACTCAAGGCCTCATTAGCAGCAGAGCCTCTGATGTTTCCTTTCCACAGACAGAGCCTCTGAGAGGCAGGTGCTGACGGGCAGCCGCTGAGGACTGAAGCAAGACGTGCCGGGCACACCCCCAGTGGCCGGGCCGGGCCAGTGGGCACAGCGCCTGCCACGCCTGCCCATCGCAGGTGGTGAGGAAGGCAGCAGTGTGAGGACCAGGGCACCTTCGGGCTGCCCTGTTCTGTCACAGCCCTGGGGGCGGAGTCCACCGTAACACCGGTGTCACAGGAAGGGGACCAGGGCACTGCAAGGGGTGTGGTCTGCCGAAATGGCGGAGTGAAGATTTATGTCTAGGCTTTTGGGGGAGGTGGGAGGTGGTGGGGTGGAGAGAGAAAGAAACATCAGTTTGTTGTTCTGCTGACTTATGCACTCACTGGTTGAGTCCCGAGTGTGCCCTGACTGGGGATGGGACCCACAGCCTTGTTGTAGCAGGGCAAGGCTCTAACCAGCTGGGCTGCCCGGCTAAGGTTTTTAATTGATTACTTCATCATGTCTTAGTCTGGATTCCCCAAAAGCAGACCCCAAGGCAAGGAATCTGGTGGAAGGAGTGTATTCAGACAGCAGAGGAAACAGGAGTTGGGCGTGGGGAAGGGAGAGGGGAAGGCGGCCCATAAAGATTGCACCGGACCAGCCACTCCTAGGGGCACCTGGAGCTCGGCAGGCCGCCGGCCGGGTGCCACTGTGGGAAGTGCCTCAGAGCGACTCCGCCAGGACAGGGGAGCCGGGTCCTCTCTGTCACACAGCTCTTCCCACCTGTCTGCGCCTGCTGCGTTGGGGCAAAGCAGGTCCTGGAGGCCGGAGGAAATTACCTCCACTGGAGAAACATCGGAGCCGGTGGTCAGAGGAGCAGACCACGTGCGCCAAGGCAGGGGCGGGCACCCAAGGGGCTGAGAGAGGCTTGGGCAGGTCTGCTGTGACCGCCCAGCAAACCCCGAGTCCCTCGTGCAGCAGACTCTAAGGACATACAGGGTGCCCATCGGGTCCCAGCTCTGTGCCAGTGCAGGAGGCAAGCAAGTACAAACACCAAGAAAAAAAGTCAAGCAGGGAAGAATTTGATGACAAAAATAAGAGAATTAGTAATAGCCAATGGAAGGGCTATTTTCAAATGGACGGTCAGGGAAGACCCCCCCCAAGGAGGTAACTTTCTAACTCCTAAACAAAGGGGCTCCTCTCCTCCAGCGTTAACCTAACACAGACCCACTCACCCTCATGGGGCTGCCAGACTGCCTCAGAAGTAGGCGCAATCTAGTAAATCATTGCAATAAAAAAGGAACAAAGAATTGAAATAAACAACAATCTGGGTGGATGTCAAGGGCATTATGCTGAGTGAACAAGTCAGTCTCCAAAAGGTCACGTACAGCACTGTGATTCCACTTACACAGCATCTTGAAACGACAAGAGGCGTAGAGAACAGCCCAGTGGTCACAAACCCCAGGGACGGGGACGGGGATTGTGACTGTGAAGAACTGCACAGGCCCCTCTGCAGTGGCGGAGCCGTTCTGTGCCTCCCCGAGGTGGTGGTGGTGGCTACACAAATGTGCACACGATAGAACTGCAAAGAGCCTGTCACACACACACGCACAGAAAGGAGTGTCTGCAGGCTGCCCATCACACAGATGTCGGTTTCCCGGTCTGACGATGCACTGTGGTCACGAGGGTGCTGTCACAGGGGAAGCTGGGCAAGGGCATGCGGGGCTTTTCTATGCTTTTTTAAAAGTCGAGATCTGAGTCATGTAGATGAAATCACCATTTGAAGTGCACAATCAGTGGTTTCAGCACTCACGAGGCTGTGCGACCGCCGCCACTGCCCTCTTCCAGCACATGTCGTCACCCAAAGACACCCCATGCCCTTTCACAGTCACCCCGCACTCCCGTCTCCCCCGCCCACAGCGGCCACCAGTCCACTCTCCGTCTGTATGGGTTTCTCTGTTCCGGGCGCTCCCTGTGCACGGCAGCACACCTGTGGCCTTCTGGCCGGGCTTCCCTCATCGAGTGTCACATTTCCAAGGCCCGTCCACGCTGTGGGTTGTGGTGGAACCTCGCTCCCGCCTCCCGGCTGAGCAGCACTGCGGGGGTGTGGACGGGGCTGCTCTGCCTGTCGGTCAGCCGGTGGACGCCTGGGCTGTTCCCGCCTGTCGGCAACTGCGAGCAGTACTGCTGTGCACATTTGTGTACGAGTTTTGGTGGGAACATGTTTTCAGTTCTCTTGGGTGTGTGTATCTGGGAGTGGGATTGCTAGGTCATATGGTCACTTTACCTGAATTTCTGAGGAACTGCCGAACCGTTCTGTCCAGTGTCTGTGCCTTACTTTTCCATTCTCACCAGCAAGGTGTGAGGGGCCAATTTACCACATGCTCGCCAATACTTGCTGTTTCCCGTTTAAAAAACTAGAGCCATCCTAGTGCGTGTGCAGTGATGTATGTTGGTGGTATTGATCTGCATTTCCCTGATGGCTAATAATGCTGCACATCTCCCCACGTGCTTGCTGGCTCTCCTCCAGATCAACGTCTGCTCAGAGTCCTCTGGTCATACTCTGATTAGGCTGTCACCTTTTCATTGTTCGGTTTGAGTTCTTTTCTTTACACATTCTGGACACTAGACTTTTACCAGATATATAATTTGCAAATATTTTCTCGCATTTCATAGGTTGTCTTTTCTTAATAGCACCCTTTGAAGCAAAAATGTCTTTAATGTTGATGAAGTAGTCTGATTTATCTATTTTGTTGTGGTGGTTGCTTGTTCTTTAGTGTCATATCTAAGACTCCACTGACAAATTCAAGGCTATGAAGAGATTTACACTTATGTTTCTTCTAGGAGTTTTATAGTTTTAGCTCTTATGTTTAAGGCTGTCGGTCCACCGAGTCAGTTTTTGCACGTGGTGTGAGGCAGCAGCCCAACCTCACTCTCTCGAGCGTGGAAATCCAGTTGTCCCAACACCGTTTGTTGGAAAAACTATTCCCACTTCATCGGACGGTCTTGGCCTCCGGTTGAAAGTCAGTTGACTACAGATGGATGTGCTCATTTCCGAGTCTCATTCTGTTCCACCAACTCACACCCAGCGCGGTGCCAGGACCACGCAGTCTCAATCACTGTAAGGAGTAGTTGGGTTTGAAGTCAGAAAGTGCGAGCCCGCCCACATTGCTCCTCTTCTGCAATGCTGTTCCAGCTATTCCGGGTCCCCTGAGTTTCCACATGCATTTTAGGATCAGCTTGTCAGTTCCCACAAAAAAGGCAGCTGGAATTTTGATGGGGTCACACTGAGTCTGGAGATCATTTGTTTCTCCAGAGGCAACCTGTGCGCCGTCTCTCGGGCCTCCTGGAGCTGAAGGGTGCTGGGCACGGCACAGTGAAGACGGTGCTGCCAGGCGCTCAGTCTGCTCGCAGTCTCTCATGGCCACCTCGCAGTGGCAGGAGGAGAAAATGCCAGTGCCTTTTTTTTTAGCCCTGCTAGATATTTAAAGGAAAGGAACATTCTACATATGTCGGGTGTGTACTCCACGCCCTAGGGAAGCAGGGCCCCAGTGGGGTGTGAGCACAGCCCTGGGCCAGGCTGCAAGGTGTGCGCTTGGCCCCACCACCTCCCACTGTGTGACCTCGGGGCCATCTAGGCCCTTCTCACGGCCTGCGCCTCTTCACCTACAACATGGGGGTGTCGACCTCGACAGCGCCTGAGGTCCCGTATTTGGTGATAACTGTGGTAAACTGCAAGATGGAGAGAAGGGGGTAAATTGGCTCCTTCTTGTCCCCCTCTCTTGAGAAAACCCATAGAGCAGGGATCTGGGAAAGAGCCTGGGGAGACAGTTTGGAGCCTCTGCCTGCTCCCTTCCCTCAGGCTCCCCCCAACCTGGCCCAAAGGAACAACCTGAAGATTGCACTCTCCTTCCCTCCTCACACCCATGCCTCTGTCATGGACTAATTATGCGCAGAGATAACACATGGAAATACAAGACCAAGACTCATTCCAGCGCCGCCTCCACCTACCGCTATGTTCCTGTTGACCAGGAGGCCCAGGTCCCCCGGCGTGTCCGTGTTACGAACATCCACATCGTGAGGCGACACGTAAAGCTTTGTGTTGTCCAGGTCAAAGAACTCGACTGCGGTGAGACCCACCCAGGACCTGCTGCCCCAAGTGGACAGGATTTCCATGGTCACATAGATGGCGTCTTTCATCTCTTCTGCTTCCATTCTCGACTTGTCCTTAAGGCAGAGAAGCATAATGCCCAAAGATTAAAACACGACAGGATGCATCAGCTCCCCCACTGAGCAGCAGGCTCTTCCACCTCAGCGCCTTGCTCCCCACCCCGCCCCATGCACAATGAGGACAAGAACAGCGCGCCCAGTGTGACAGTTGTCTTGAGGATTTGCACAGATCTGAAACACAGCTGATGTGTGCTCTGGCACTTAAGGTCTCCTGCAAAAGTTTACAAATAACAAAGGTTTAAAAGGCATCCAACTAGGTCTGAACATCATGAATGTCTCTTCCCCTCTACCAAGTGTCCATGTCGTATAGGCACATCACAGCCTCTGCTGGACTGGGCAGATGTTATGGCTGCATTGTTTCTCTCCAAAAAAATTTCATACTGAAGCCCTAACCCCAGTACCCCAAAATGTAAGTGTATTTGGAGATAGGGCCTTTAAAACTAGTTAGCTTGAAACGAGGCCATCAGAGTGGGCCCTAACCCATTCTGACCACGGCCCTGTGAGAGGAAATCTGCACGCCTGACGAGACACAGGGGCCGCGCACGCACAGGGAGAAGGCCACGCGAGGGCACACTGAGGAGGCGGCCACCTGCAAGCCGAAGAGGGAGGCCTCGGGGGAAGCCAAGCCTGCCAACACCTTCATCTTGGGCTCGCAGCCTCCAGAAATGTGAGAAAACAAATCTGTTAGGTGTGTTTTCATGGCAGGCCCAGCAGAAGGACACCGGAGATAACACAAGACCCTGGACAGGTCACTTGACATCTGCCGTCCAGTTGAGGAGGATGGGGTGGCACCACCTCACTGACCATCGTGTCACAGAGACCGAGACATGCGCCCAGCGCAGACCCTGCCCCATGGCCGGGCCCTGTGTGCACTCTGCAAGGGTCCATTTCCTCCCATCTCCCCCCTTCACTGGCTTTGACACCTGCCTCCTTCGTGGGCAGGCTATCGGGTCTGAGAGGCTGCATGCATGCGATCACTAAATGGCCATTCTGGGGAGCTGCTCCTCAGGCTCCAGGGCCCCAACTGCAGAGCTGGTTGTATGCACGGACCGGTCACTCATAAAGAAGACGCATTCCCTGCTTGCACATGACCTCTGTTAATTAGCACTGGAAATCTGCAATGGTTCTGTGAGCAGGGAGCTGAGCAAATGAACAGCAAATGTTCCCTACTTAGTTTTTTAATTAATAGCCAGAGACACATGCTCTGGCTCTCAGCATGCATGTGGAGGAGCCGTGATTGCCACCCGATGGGAATGGGGACGGGGAGGGAGGGAGGTCAGCTCCTAGCTCCCAGAAGGAACACAGGGCTTGTTTTTTATTAGCCGGCCCACAGACCCTCAGCATCCTCCCCCTGTGCTGTGCAGGGCCCTAGCTAAGCCCCTCGCTGCCCTGGGCCTGCATCCAGGGTCCAGGCGGCGGCTGGCTGCAGAGGAGGGCCAGATGGGGGTGAGCCGCCTCGCTGGATCTCACACCTAGTGCAATCTAAAATGTGCAAATTCCCGCAGTGGAGTTTCTAAATGAAGAAGCTGAAGGGTCTATTAACTGAGAAGGTGTCACAACTTGTCAGTGTTGCAACTCCATACCTACTCCTGCTTCTGAATTGCTTGATTTAGGTCCCCCAGGGTGTCTCAGGCGAACCTGATTGGGGGGCCCCTGGTCCCTGGCACTCACTGCTGCTTTCTTACTAAGACCACCTGCTTCTCCTCTGCGGAAGCTACCCCTTCTCTCTGCTCAACCACGAGGTACAGGACAAACCCTTTCTCACCCCGGGAGAAGCCTGACTGGCCCAGGGAATCGCTGTGTCTTGTCCCCTGGGCCACCAGAGGCAGTGGTTCAATGACAGGCATATGACCCAGCCTCAGATCTGTCAGGGGTGGAGGGTGGGGGGGGACACTGCTCTTCTCCTGAGTGTGGGGTCTGGAGTGAGAGGGCATGAGATGGGGACCACTCCACCTGCTGAGGGGTCACAGGGCAGGACCTGGGCCTGGGCACGGTGGTGGGGAGGGAGCTCAGGGATGCAGCTGACACCGTGGAGACTCAGTGTGAGCTGCTGGACTGACCCTACCTGGTCCCACCTGTGGCATTTATTACAGGACTCAGTCATTGTTCTTCTCTTTGTTGTGTAAATCAGTTTGCTTTGAGTTTTCTGTCTCCTATAGTATAAGGAGGCTTGATCAATCCAGGCTGGTTTTCACGTGACTAAAGTTTCACCACATTTAGGATTGTCACAGCTAAGAAAGAAACTTCCATGCAGAAGGGAACTAAGCTTTGATTCTCCTGGATTTTCCTAGATGGCAAACTTCCAGCTCATATGGAGCAGGCGTTGAACTGTTTGCTCTCCTAGGCCTTTCCTGGTCCAGTCTCAGAGCAGCCTGCGGACTGAGGGTTATTCACTTAGTCTGACAGCCACGCACTCCCAGGAACGGACACTTGTCTAGGGTCACACGACCCTTCAGTGATGGTGCCAGACCCAACGCTGAAACCAGTCTGGGCTTGTGCAGGGCTCTTTCTGCTGTTGTGAACCTCACACATGAGTTTGGAAAGGCTTCATGTTAAGTCCCCATTGGCCAGTCATAAGACTGGCAGCCACAATACCGAATAAGAAAGGCTTGGGCACAGGAAGGGGCGAGAAGGATATGCCTGGGCACACACCTCCTGACACGAAAGCATCGCCCAGTCCCCCAGCCCCTGGCACCCCTTCCTTTTGCGGCATGTGTCTCAGCTCTGTCCTCACGCTCACAGGCCCTGCCCCGCACAGCCGTCGCAACCGTGTTGGACTAGATGAAGACTGATGTCACCTCTTGCAGTTTCCTTGTAACCTTAACATTTTCTACATGCATAATCTCCACAACGATGGCTCCCGTCCTTTTATGCTATTGCATTGTGCTGATATATCATACTTTCCTGATTACCACCATTATTATGAGACATTTATGTTATTTCTGGGTTTTTTCCTCATTTTTCTCTACTTTCAATAGTTCAGCAGCAGACACCTTTGTGCCTGTAGCTTTTTATTTCTGTTGAGCGATTTCCTTGGGGTGAGGAAGAGGGATTATTGGGCTGGAAGAAATAAGCATTTCTAAGGCTCTTCCTAAGTCCAGCCTTTCTGCTTTGCAAGAGCGTTCCACCCACTCAGGCTGCTGCCAGCAGGGCCAGACTGCCAGCTTCACTGTGACCTTGCCGGCACGAGAGGTCAACATCAAAGTAATTTATTAACTCGGCCCACAGGACAATCAGGTCGCTCTCATTTGCATTTCTTGATTACCAGAGATGTTGGGCATTTTCCTGTGGGCTCACATGCTATTTATGTTTCCTCCTGTGTGGACAGACGGCTTCCCTCTGCTGAAACTTCCTGCTCCACCACAGTTATGTCTGTGTGCGGGGAAGGAGGGGAGGCGGAGACTCGGCAGAAAGCCGCTAAGCTAACTGCTGGCAGACCAATCCCACCGAACAGAAATGATTGCATCGAGGGGCCTCTCCAACCTCAGCTTTCCCTGAGACACTGAAGGCATTTGGAAATCCCCGGAAGTCAAGGTTCTCACCTCTGGGTCCAGCACATGCCCCTCGGTTGGTGAAGCAACCCGGCTGACATGGGCAGAGTCACTTTCGATGGCCTGGAGGACTTTCAGAAGCTTCTGCTGTTGTCTGAAATGTGATGTGTTTTAGCAAACAGGTGGTAACAAACAGAGCCCAACGGAGAACATTCCCACCCAAGGCACCACAGCCACTCTCCTGCCTCAGATGATGTAACAGTGTGAGAAGGTGCAGTTGGCCCTTGAGCAATGCAGGGGTCAGGGGCACCGATCCCCCAACGCAGATGAAAATTTGTGTGTAACTTTTGACTCCCCAAAACTCAACTACAGCCGCCCAGTATCAGTGTGGCACTGGCTCCAGATGTCACGATCCAGGGGTGCTCAAGCTCCTCATACAGAACGGTGTAGAACCGTGCATGCAGTTGGCCCTCTGCGTCATGGATTCCCAGCCCTGGACCAAAAATCCTGCTTTCCATTTGCAGTTGGTTGAATCCACAGATGCAAAACCCGGGGATGTGGAGAGCCTGCTGTGTATTTATTGAAAAAACTCTGCGCCCTGGCCTGAGTGGCTTAGTTGGTTGGAGGGTCGTCCAGAAACCAAAAGGCTGCAGGTTTGGCCCCAGTCTGGGCGTGTACGGGAGGTGATAAATTGATGCTTCTCTCCCGAGTCCCTGCTTCTCTCTCTCCCTTGCTCTCTCTCTAAAAAATCAATGGAGAAAATGTCCCCAGGTGAGGATAAAAAAAATATCCACACATAAGTGAACCTGCACAGTTCAAACCTGGGTTGTTCAAGGGTCAACTACAGTCACCCTGCACACAGTTCAAAGGCTCACACAAGGTGTTTTCCTCCCTTTACAAATAATTGTGAAAGCAGTGATGGAATCAGAGCAAAGGTGAAGAAACCCCCCAGGGCGAGACAGTCAGCCTGAGCTTACAGACAACCGACCACAGGGGCTGACGAAGCATAGCCTGCAGGTCAAAGGCAACCTGTGACCTGTTTTTGTATGGCCTGCCAGCTAAGTATGGTTTTTACTTCTCAAAACGTGGTTAAAACAAAGACACAGGTGAAAAGCCTAAAGTATTTGCTATCTGGCCCAACCCCTGGTCTGCATGCCACGTTGCTCCTCTCGTCTCTAGGCCAGGGGCCTTCCACGCCTGGCAGAGTGTTGTCTGCAAACACACCCATGGGAGCTGGTCAGGCTGCGCACCCCTCCTGCCCCCGCCGCACGGGCGCTCTGTGCGGTCCACAGTGAGCAGGTGCTGCACAGCGGCCCGGGGCATGGCTGTGGGCTGCTGCAAGCTGGGCGGCATAGGCTCAGCCTGGCGCTGCTTTCTGAAGATCAATTTTGCCTGAAGACTAGTGGAAAGCCTTCATTTTTATCATAAAACTTGATCATAAAACTTTTGCCTGAAGACTAGAGGAAAGCCTTCATTTTGATCATGCAGTTCCAGTAACTGATACTGCATGTTACTGGAACAGAACGCTGCATTTGAACACATGCTAACAGAGACGAGGAAAGCCAAAGGATGCTGCTTTGGACCACTAGCCTCCACCCCAGCCCCAGGCCTGGGAACAAGTCACCACCGTCTGCTGTGTGGGACACATCAGTGGAAACCTTCGAGCAGGCTGGAGTTTACTCAGGTTGTACTGAACTGAACAAGCAAAGAGACATTTGCCTGAGAAAAATCAAGTCAATTTTGCATTTTCGGGCCGCGGTGGGAGCGAAGGAGGCCACAGTCCGAAGGAGCAGCTTTAAATGGTCTGGAGTGACACAGGACGAGCAAACAAACACTGAGGGCCTCACAGCGGCACTGCTGCAGGTTTCTTGTTTTTGTTTTCAAGTGCGCCAGGTAAGTACCTGCTCCCCAAGAGGCCGATCCTGTCAATGGCTTCACTGACAGCTCTGGCTCCCCCTGCTGCCCTGGATGGCTCCTGTGTACTGGTCACCACGGCAATGGGAGGCTCCTGAGGATGGAAAAGCTTATTAAACAGATGTCTGAGGTGACACTCCTGGCCCAAGACACAGCAGAGCCAGGGTCAAAGGGACACACTTCACTGTCCTACTGCAGGAAGCAGGACAGGAATGAGAATGGCAGTGTCTGCCTGGAGCCGACAAGACCTAGAATCCCCTCACAGGAGCTTTGCAGAGATGGATCTCAGTGTCTTATGATCTGGGGGGTCCCAGCAAACGATCTGCTTCAATGAGCTATTGAAAAATTTCTCTCTCTCTCTCTCCTTCTCTCTCTCTCTCTCTCTCTCACACACACACACACACACACACACACACACACACACACGTGCCTTTCTCCCTCTTCTTCCCTGAAAGCACACACCTTTAATCTCTCTCTCTCTCCTATGATCCAAGGGCCCTTAAAAATAAAAAATAAAAATAAAAAATTTTCTCTTGTCAACACCTTTCTCCATCTCAACCCAACCCGTTCTGTTTGCTACAAAATAACAGGACTCCATGGAGAACGCTGGTAACGTCACAAGGCCTTTTTGCCTTTCCTCCGCCTTCTCCACACATCCTCTACACTGGAAATGCGCTCTGCCCTCCATCTGCAAATGGTTTAGTCACTGGAATCGCTGTGAGTCAGAGGTCAGGCGGCCCAGCAATCCTGGACCCCAGGCAGGGCAGTGTTGCCGACCTGTCAGAAACACCAGCTGGGGCTGTTTAAGACGACCCGGGAATAACTGAACAAGGGAGAGGGACACGAAGAAAAAACCGCTGCAGTGTTTGAGGTGTTCTCTGCCCGCCACAACCCAGGCATGCGCCCTGACTGGGGACTGAACTGGGGACGCCCAGCCAACTGAGCCACACCATCAGGGCCCAGTCAACTTTTACTGTCATCTCTCTCTGAAGTCACGTGTTTATTTATGGCTTTATTTGCTTGTTGTCCTCAAGCTCCAGGAGGCCAGGGGCTAATCTGACCTGAACTCTGCGCGCACTGCACAGGTTGGTGCACCGCCTGACCAAGACATTCCTGGGCATCACACTAACTCAGGTCTGTGTTTGCTGGGGCAGTCTTTGCTGAGACAGGCCTCACGGACCTAGGTGGACATAAGCTACAGCTTATTTATTCAGAACACAAAGATCTACTTTTGGTGTTGTCTCATCAGGAACTAGAAATGTAATGAGAAACTGGAGTCACAAGGCCTGCCTGTGTTCTGGCTTCTGCTCGTCGCCATGCATAAGCCACATTCGCCAGATCCTCCTTCCTGTGAGATGGGCAGGACGCCATGCTCAGGGAGCACAGTGAGGGCCTGTGTGATTCTGCACAGGTACGTGAGGACAGCTCCCTCCCTGGAGACCGTCAGGAGCTGTGGGCACGGGGCTCTGTGTTTCCTCTCGGGCCCTCACTGACCTCAGGGCTCTCCCTTTCTTCTGTCAGCAGGCTGGTCCACGACTTTGCTGGAGGTCCTTCCATGTCCTGGAAAGATGCAACCATACGATCTGAGGTCAGAACAAAGTCATCCACTGTATACATGCCACTGACAAATGAAGGCAAAGAGGTGCAGGGACTGTCTCCAGATTCATAGACCCCATCATTAGGACAAACGACCAAGCTCCAGGGAAATGGATAACAGGTGCTACTCGATGAATATCCCAAAGAACAGGCTGCAATAGAGCCCGGTGAGTGGCTAGTGGTCTGGGCAGGGCCCAAGGCTTGCAGGCAGGTAGATCTGGGCCAACTCCCAACAGACGACCTGAGGAAGACCCCTTGCTTCCCTGGGTGCCACTGGGCATTTTTATAAAAAGGGGCAATGAAACCAGCCCTGCCTGTTTGAGGGTTGCTGTGAGCATCAGGTGGGACAAACCAAGATAAAAGGTTTCAGCAGCTGAGCAAGGGAACATGCTTCTGAGAAAGGACATGTCCCTCGTACACTGAGGTACATCCAAGGCCTCCAGCATTAAGGGGCCCTCTTCCACTGCCACTTCTCCTGTTTACTGCTCACAGCCCACGGCAGCAGGCACACACTAGATACCTGCAGGGCCTGGAGGTGTTCCAACTATAAGAGAGGCCTGTCTGGCTCATGCTCTGGGGAATGAAATCTTTCCAGAGAAGACAGAGCTTGTCATTTACTCCATTTTTTTCTCTTACTTACAATGTGCAACCCCAGTCCAATGTGTTAGGGTTTTCAGGGAATCAGCAAAGATTGGAGGCTTATTAGCATCTAGCTTGGGCTTTTTGCAGTAAACAAAAAATGAGAAGGTGGAAGAAATGGAAGCTTTGGCAGGTCAGTGGTGCCTCCCACGTCACTCTCGCCTCTCCACATGCTCTGTGCAAGTGCTGCTCAGACACTGCCTGCCCCCTGAGTAGCAGAGTCCTCCCCAGTCCCTTCCCTCTGCTCAGGAACCTACCTGCACCTGCAGCGTGCTGGCAGGTGGCTCAGCCTTCCTGCTCAGGATCACCCTCTGCAGGGCTTCGTTCTCCACCTGGATGGCTCTGAGCACGGCCGATGCCTCTTCCTGCCGGTCCTCTGCCTGGAGCACAGGTTTCCGGGTTGCTGATAGGGGCCTCTCCCACTGGCTTCCGGGTCCTGGGGGCAGAAAACAGGGGGTCTCCCTTTAAGCTGCATTTTCAAAGTGCGGCTCAAAAACTATTAGACCCAAGTCGAAGAACAACCTATAAACCATTTGGCTTGTGCTCTCCCAAACTGTCAAGGTTATGAGGACAAAGAAAGCCTGGAGAGCTGCTCCAGACTGAAGGAAACTGGCGGCCTGGCGACTGAATGCAGTGGTGATCCCAGGACCGGACTGCGGGCAGGAAACCAGCCGTGAGAACAGTACTGTGGCAAGGGGAGACATCTGAACACAGTCTGTAGCTTAGGTAATGGTACCGTATGAGTGCTAAATATCCTGAATTCCATAACTTAACGGGACTGTGTGAATATAAAACAAATGCCCTTGTTCCCAGGAGACACAGTCAGCCCACCGCACCCAAGGTTCTCACCTGCAGACTCACTCCCGTGCTATTTAGTCAGGCCTATGATGGCTGCATCTGCACTGAACATGCACAGACTTCTTTTCTTATCATTATTCCCTAAACAATGCAGAATGACAACTATTTACGTAGCATTTTCATTGTATTAGCTATTCCAAGTAATCCTGAGAGATGATTTAAGTATACAGGAGGGTATGCATAGGTTAAACACAAGTATGATGTCCTTCTACAAAAGGGACTTGAGCCTCCACGGACGTCGCATCTATGGGGCCCTAGAACTACTCCCCCATGAATACCGAGGGGTAGCTGTCCATACTGCGGTGTCCAGGGGTAAAGGGGAATAACACATTTTTAAAATCCCAAATGATTAAAGAACACAGACACGGCCATTGTACAGCAGTGGGGACATGTGCTGACAGCTGGCGAGCAGGGAGAAGGGTGCGGGGGAGCCGCTCGTGCCCCCCACACAGCTGCCCTCTACGTGTGAAGTGTGTCAGAGTCACAAGCTGTTGAAAACTAGCCCTCCAAACAATATCTATAAGAAACAATATACATCATGGAGAAAGATGGGTATTTTGAAATATTTTTGCTTTTATTCTTCTTTCAGGGAAAACAAGAATTACAAAGAAATTACTCAAGTTAAGAAAAAAATTGCTGCAGACTTCCAGCCAAGATGGAGGTGTAGTAGATACACTTTGCCTCCTCACACAACCAAAAAAAGGATAACAACAAATTTAAAAACAAAACCCAACCAGAACAGCCAGAAAATCGAACTGTATGGACGTCTGACAACCAAGCAGTTAAAGAAGAAACATTCATTTAGACCAGAACATGGGGCAGAGACAGGAGCCGGGGTGGACAGGACCAGAAGGTTCCATATTTGCATGCAGATAAACCAGGAGGAACAACTGGGGAGTGAGATAGACTGCACAACCCAGGGTTCCAGTGTAGAAAAATAAAGCCTCAAAACCTCTGACTGTAAAACCTGTGGGGATTGCAGTGGTGTGAGAAACTCTCAGCCTCACAGGAGTTTGGTGGAGAGACCCACAGGGTCCTAGAACGCACATAAATGCACCCACCTGGGAACCAGCACCAGAAGGGCCCAGTTTGCTTGTGTGTAGCAGGGGAGGTGACTGAAAGCCAGGCAAGCAGCAATGTTCCCTCTCGGACCCTTCCCCCACATACAGCACCACAATGCAGCCACCTGGGTTGCCCCACCCTGGTGAATATCTGAGGCCCTGCTCATTACAGCATAACAGGTGAGCTAAGACAAAGAAATACGGCTGAAATGAAAGAACATATCAAAACTCCAAAAATAGAACTAAGTGATGAAGAGATAGCCAACCTATCAGATGCAGAGTTCAAAACACTGGTAATCAGGATGCTCACAGAAATGGTTAAGTATGGTCACAAAATAGAGGAAAAAGTGAAGGCTATGAAAAGTGAGATAAAGGAAAATGTACAGGGAACCAACAGTGACAGGGAGGAAACTGGGACTCAAATCAATGGTTTGGAACAGAAGGAAGAAGTAAACATTCAACTAGAACAGAATGAAGAAAAAAGAATTCAATAAAATGAGGAGAGGCTTAGGAACCTCCAGGACAATTTTAAACATCCCAACACACTAATCATAGGGGTGCTAGAAGGAGAAGAGGAAGAGCAAGAAATTGAAAACTTATTTGAAAAAATAAAGAAGGAGAACTTCCCCAAGGAAATAGACTTCCAGGAAATCCAGGAAGCTCAGAGAGTCCCAAAGAAGTTGGACCCAAGGAAGCACACACCAAGGCACATCATAGTTACATTACCCAAGGTTAAAGGGAAGGAGAGAATCTTAAAAGCAGCAAGAGAACAGGAGATAGCTACCTACAAAGGAATCCCCATAAGACTGTCAGCTGATTCTCAAAAGAAACCTATAGGCAAGAAGGGGCTAGAAAGAAGTATTCCAAGCCATGAAAGGCAAGGACCTACATCCAAGATTACTGTATCCAGAAAAGCTATCATTTAGAATGGAAGGGAAGATACAGACAAAATAAAGCTAAAGGAGTTCATCACCACAAAGCCATTATTACAGGGAATGTTAAAGGGACTTATCTAAGAAAAAGAAGAAAATCAAAACTATGAACAGTAAAATGACAACAAACTCACAACTACCAGCAGCTGAACCTAAAAACAAAAACAAAAACTAAGCAAACAATTACAATAGGAACAGAATCACATAAATGGAGATCACATGGAGGGTTATCAGTGGGGAGGGGGAGGAGGGAGAGAATGGGGGAAAAGGTGCAGGGAATAAGAAGCATAGACGGTAGGTAGAAAATAGACAGGGGGAGGTGAAGAATAGTATGGAAAATGGAGAAGCCAAAGAACTTATATGTACGACCCATGGACATGGTGGGGGAAATGCTGATTGGAGGGGAGGTGCAGGGTGGAAGGGAATAAAAGGGAAAAAATGGGACAAATGTATCAGCATAATCAATAAAATATATTTAAAAAAAATTATTGCAAAGGTACAGTTGACCTTGGAAGTCCTAATAGTGGAAAGTTGGTTTTATAAAGTATAAAGTGGTATGCAAAAAGCACCCAGTAAGACTAGTTCAATACAATAAATTATGGCATATCTACCCAACAGTGGAGTACTCTGTGGCTGTACAGAGAAAAGCAAACTAAAATATCTACAGTAAAATGATATGATGACTTGAATTTGCCTTATAATCATCTGGATTCTTTCTATGCTAAGAAAAAATCTCCACTGGAAAATAGAACTGCTCAACATGTTTCTACTGGGATCTTGAAAGAGGCTTTTACCTACTGAATTTCATCTCAACAAATATGTATTGAGTGCCACTCTGCCAGGCTCTGCTCTTGGCACTAGGGACACAGCAGTGTCGGGCAGATCAAGGTTGTCCCAACTTTGGGGAGACAACAGCCAGAGAGAGAATACACAGTTCAGGGCGTTGGCCGACGATGATAAGGAAGAACAAGAGAAGCGGAGCGGGGTACAGGAGCTGGGGGACCTGGGTGGCAAGGTGGGCGTTGTGGAGCACCAGGGAGGCACGGTCCAGGGGCCAGGGCACGCGAGCAGCCTGTGGTGTGTCCGTGGAGCGGCGAGGGGCCTCAGGCTGCAGCAGAGGGAACAGGGGATAGGCTGAGGGGATAGAGATGCGAGGCCAAGCAGGGGCTTGGAGGACACCACAAAACCATTCCTCTGAGTACAACAGGGAACAGCTGAAGGATTTAGAGCAAGGGATGACGTGATCTGACTCGGGTGAGAACTGACTGAAGGGGCGAGGGGGAAATCAGAGAGGCCAGTCCGGGGCGTCCGCAGTTGTGCCACGAGGCCCAGCGGCAGCAGAGGAGCGACACAGTGTGCGGACAGACTCTGCATCTACGCAGAAGACAGCCAGCAGGGGCTACTGACAGGGCAGGTGTGGCCGGGGGAGACAGGGAGGAGCTCAGGATGACTGCATGGGCCTGAGGAGGTGGACAATGGAACTGTTTTTGGTGATGGAACGGGGGCTGTGGAGGGAGCGGGTTTAGAAGAAGAGAGCAGGGGCTGGGGTCGGACAGGCCGGGCGCGGAGGTGCAGGCACCGAAGAGGAGCTGCTGGGTGGGCACGCACACATGCGAGCCTGGGGCTTGGGAGAGAGGTCTGGGGGTGTGTCCGACACAGGCAACTGGGCTGCGTTATTTAACAGTGACGGCAAAGACTGACATTACCGCCAACCTCGAACAAGCCAACTGGGAATTTACAGGCATGAGCTCTTGGGGGTCACTCACATACATATGGCCTGGTGTAGAATGTGTTGGAAAACAGCACCCTCCCACCCTCATGACCTCAGGAAACCATCACCACTGACTATTAGAGATTCCTATTGGAGCGCTGGACCCTTCTGCTATGTTCTATCGGAACGCTGTGTCCAAACGAGAGTTCGAGTAGCAACGTCGAGAGTGGCAGCGGCAGCTCCCCTGGGCTGGCTTCCAGGACCGCCAGGCGCTGGGGAAGGGGAACTGTGGGGTTTTATGGAAAAGCTGAGCTGGGATGGGGGGCTACCAATTGCTAGCAGGTACCTGGGAGAGGGGCCGTGGGTGCAACCAGAGGCAGGCTCTCTGTGTGGGTACCACTGCGTGAGGGGCTGGGCCCAGTGAACACGGGTTGGCACCCAGCTCCAGGTGACACCAGCCATGTCGGGCTGTGCTCCTAGTATTGCCATTGTGCTTTTTCAGGAAAAGCTCAGATATGAAGTTTATGTGATGTCCCCTCATTTGTTCATAACATACTCCAGCTTTTAAGAAACATTACCAACAGAACCCGAGGGCTGGTCAAACATGGCCCGAGCTGCTTGCCCAGGAGGGTCGTGTGCCTGTGGATGCCTGGCCTGGATGGTGAGCAGCAATGCGTGGACGTCCCTGTTTGCCCTTCCTACCAGCTACTGGGCCTGCTCACAGCGGGGGGGGGGGGCGGGGCGGGGGGATAGAAGGTAAAGCAAATGGCGGGGGGGCGGTGTGCAGGCTGAGGGAGGTGGGATCCTCCCTGTGACGAAAACTGTAAAGGGAGCTGAGGGCCACGCTGGGCCCTTCCTCACTTGGCACAAAAAG